TGTGATGTATCCTTTAAATGGAATATTATTCTACCCTCAAAAGGAATGGGAGGTATTATAGTTTYGGTCTGAAATGTCCCCCAAAGACTTGGTCCCAGCTGGTAGAGCTGTTGAGCCATGGAGGAAACTTGGAAGGTAGGGCTTAACTAGAGGAAGAAAGTCACTGAGGGTGGTCCTTGAAGGGTGTAGCTTGTCCTCTGCCCCTTCCCCCCATCTCTGCTTCCTGGCCCATGAGCTGAGCAACYCTGTTCCTCTATGAGCTCCCTGCCATGGTGTTCTGCCTCACCMCAGGCCCAAAGCAGTGGGCTGAACTTAGACACCTCTGGACCCATGAGCCAAAATAAATCTTTCCTTCTTTTAAGTTGTTTATCTCAGAAAGGCTAACAAATGGAGTGAATGGTAARGGGCATAGTTTCTATTTTGCATGAGAAAGTAAGAAAATTAGATTATGGTGATATTTACACAACCCTGAATTAATTAAGAACTAGTCAACTGTTTATAAAGAAATGAAAATACATGTTATGGTATGTAAATCATATCTAAATAAAGCTCTTGAAGAATAAAGGAAGTCCTACTAAAGGAAAAACAATAATGCTAAGAGGAAGACTATCACACAGTCATGCATATCGTATAATACCATGYAGTAGCCAAGGATAGCCACAGATTTGGCTTTCCAGAGACTCCARTAGAAAAGGTGATATCAAAATGCAAAAGAAAAACCAGTTCTTTGGAGTAGKAGCATAGGAAGAGGAGTTTCTTTATGCCTTCTCTGATCCTTTGTTTCTCTTTTAGTAAAATGGGCTAACACTGTTCTTGGAGTTACTCTGAGGTTCAACAGCTTCAGGGTAATAGATGCAAAAAGCACTTGGAAAGTCAAGAAAGTTTATGCATGTTTAAACATGTAATTTATTTCTGTGATTGCATTTGGAATAGGTTGTTCTAGGTTCTTAGGTTCCCTGTGATTAAAGTACCTCAAACCAGGTGACTTAAAACAACAAAAACTTGTGGTCTCRCAGTTCTGGGGCTAGAAGTTAGGAATCAAGATTGGCAGACTCATGCTCCCTCTGAAACCTGCAGGGGAGGATCTCTCCTTGCCTCCTCTGGCTTCTAGTGGTTTGCCTGCAATTCTTGAAATTCCTTGCCTTGTAGCTGCAGACTTCCTGCTCTGCCTATGCCATCACGTGGTATTGCCACTCCAGTGTCTCTACACTGAGCCTTTTTTTTCTTAAAGGACAG